TTCTGCAATGAAAAAGTAGTGATTGTGTGTAGATTATCAGTTGTGTCATTTTACAGGATGTGGGACATTGTTGCCATGACTTTTTGGCTGGTGTTTGGTATGATTATTAAAACAGTGAAAGCATTAGTAGTGCACTGCCATCATTATAGTAAGTTATGTAAGTCTTTTTACATAAACAGCGCAGGGCTGTTTATTTATTCCCATGTTCTTGGGCCTCATTTACTCATCTTAAAAATGCCCAACACTGGACCAGATAGCATTGCCATTTCAATAGCTTTTGCAAACCAGCAGCACCTGGTTTTCAAAGCTGAAGAAGGATTTTATGAGTTTAAAACATCTGTTCCTATCCAAAAGGCTTCTGTCTCTGACATCGCCAGAAAACCCATGGTGCTTTCTCCACCTGTAAAATGGAGGCAGTAACAGCTATCTCAGAGATCTTGTTTAGATGGATAGCTTGGAATATTGCTCAGGTACTAGCAAAATAGGGGGAGGTTACAGAAACATGAATCAATAATTAAAAAATTTTATTACTCATTATTAAAGTTTAAATTCTGTGTTCTGTAGTAAAGAAGAATAACATATTCATGAGCCCAGTTCTTCTTCGAAAAAACCCTGACTTGATCAAAACCACAAAAGAAGGTAACTCTCATTGCAGTATTTGTTCACTGTAGTTCCACAAAGGCATTCTTGACAGATAGAGAAGACAAAAATGACCACTCTTCTCTATGCTGAGTGATAGGCTAAGTATCGTTATAAAGTTCAGAAGTTATTTGTTTGACAGTGTAAACATCCTGTGACCTCTATTGTGAGCCTCTGCTCTGACTACTGAATTCATGAACGGACTGAATATAACCTTGAGTAGTGAAATTCCATGAAATTCCACATTTCTAACTGAATAACTCTGCTACTGGAGAAGGCAATGAGAATGGAAAGAACTGTATTTGGCATCTGCAGGTGCAGGGTTAAATTTGAAATACAGATGACAGATCTAACAGAAAGCAGTAAACATAAAGATGAAGATATATTTAACTACATAAATACAAATATATTTTAGAAAGATAAATATATGTATTTTTGTATATAACACATTACTTTTATTCTGATAGGATAACAGCGGCTGGTGTCACTGCAGAGTTGTGGATTTTAGAAGGGATTACAATTTTTCAAAATATGTAACAAGTAAACAACAATAAATATTATTTAAACATACTTTGAAGCTTTCAGTTGAAGAGGCAAGACACATAGGTATGAATTAGATGTGAAGAAAAAGTCTCTGTTTAAATATTTTGTCTGTGTTTTTGCAAGGATCCTTGTCACAAAGTCAACTGCGGAATGTCATTAGACCTGCCATTTTACAACCCCCACAAGCCCTGACCCATCCTGAAGATGCTGTAGTATCTCTAGTAACTAAGAAAGAAGCACATGTTCAGGTAAAAAGAAAAGTAATTTTACTGGCTAATATATGTTTGCAGCTCAACTTAAAAAAAAAAAACCCACAAAAAAACCCCGTGCTGTTTTAAAGCATTTAATTATACCACTGCATGATTTTCTAGAAAGTTCCCATATCAGTTTCAGTGGAATTGATGGATCACTGACATGGTGTGAACTGTTAAACTCATGCTGACTGTGTTTGAAAAAACATCTCTTCTCTGCAGGCTGTCTTGGCTTTCAGATACCAGGGTTCTGTGGGCAGATCAGCTTTGGGGGTCTTTTGGATTTTGTTTATTTAGGAAGCAACGTTTTGGCATTTTGATTAAGGGCACTAGCTTAGTACACAGCTGGAGGAAGCTCTGCCAACTACCACATATATATGTGTGTGTGTGTGTGTGTGTGTGTACGTATTATACACACATATATATGTGTGTATATAAATATAGACTCTGGATTTCTAGCAGATCTGCTTATAGCAGAAAATAAGCTTGGTCTAATTAATTCATCTGGTTGTATTACTCCTAGCTATCTGAAGACAGCTCTTATTCCTCAGCTGAGAGTTCAGTAAGTTCCAAAACAGCAGTGAGGTCATCTACTACCATGAATCTTTCTAGCTCTAAAACAACACAGTAAGTTTTTATTTATTATATTTCTACACCATTTTGTAACTTGGCCTTTGGCCTCCCCTTTTGTCCCACGTGTCTACCATGGTATTAAGCCCATGCTATCCAAAACCACACAGTGCTCACTGGTGTTTGTGTGTGGTGCCAGGATTTGTGGGCACTGACATAAGCGCCATACACCATAAGAAATGGACTCCTGCGGGGAATTAGTCTCTGTGGGACAGTTTGTTTCCCATTAGCAACCCCCAAGCCAGAAACTATTTTGGTTTGCCATCTAATGCAGCTTTGGCAGTTCAAAATATGTCCTGGTTTTGAATGTTTACGGTCATCTTTATGTCCCTTTGGAGAACTCTCTTCTGTAGGCATAGCTGCTACATCTTATAAATAGATACAGAGAAACTCAGGAATTACAACATATATCAGTATATTGGACCCAAAAGACATGAAGAAAACTACACAGGACTGATTTGGAAGACAAGGTGAATGCAGCAACTGATGCTCTAGTTCCATGCACATGCCAGAATTTCTGGCATGAACAATTAGCTGTGATGATGTGACAGGGTGGCATCTTTGGGTTGACCTGCACAGACTTTCTGCATGAGGAAGCTGATTTCGTTGGACTAGGACATTGCCCCATGCCCTTGCCTCTGTGTATGACTGAAAGAGCTCATACTGGTGCAAAAGTGGGCTGTTACCTCTCTCAGGAGACTGGCTTATGAGAATGTTAGGTCTGTGGTTAGCCAGCAGGTTATCTTGTGGGTATTAATACTGCTTGCTGGTCGTTGATGAGGATTATTTACCTGGAAGTTGTGAGCATCACAATACACCTGAGATCAGTTATGACGACAGAATGACGTTTCAAAATTGCTAGGGCCACAGATAACACATTTGTGATGTTGCCTCCTTTCCCCCTCCCATCCAAAGAGGGCAGAGAACATGTTAACTGCAAAGGAGTCTTCTTCAGGGCTGGATGGGCCACAGATAAAGGTTCCTGCACACAACATTTGGGATGCACAGTGCTGGGGTTCTGAGGAGATAAGGGATTTTTAGATGCACAGACAACTCTGATCTTAATCCTTATCAACAAATAGAGTATCATTAGAGGGCAGATGCTCACTGTGATTCTGGAGGAGCCAGCCTGTCCTCTTCTACCACAATGAATGCTGTGGTGATGCCTTGTGAGGACAACATGGAGCAACACAGCATGCTGGATTTTTAGCAGATTCAGAATGATGGTAATACATGTACTGGAAAAGCTAAAGGGAAGACGGTACTGACTTCAAAATCAGTTGGTATTGTTACTCCAAGTCTATTTACCTTCTGTCACCTGCACAATATCTAGGAAAAGATAGGTATCTTTCTCTTGTGAAGTAGATGGCTAGAGAAATGCAATGCAGTGTTTCAGTGCTGACAAGTTACATGACTTAAAAGGGCTTATGGTATTTCTTTTTTAAAAGAGGAATTGCTCATCTGCTTGGGGTATTTGTGCCTCGATAATTCAGTATATGGCAGTTGTGGTTTATTTGACAAGTTGAAAACTAATTTAAATACAACTAGGTGCTTACTGCTCTTCTGAGATTGCAGGGGAGTGTAATTGCCATTCTTCTGATCTGTATTAAGTGACTGATGCTTTAAAATACTTCAGTAAAATCTTTTTGGCACAGCTGTTTTCTCATAGATAAATTGACAAGTATTCAAACAAACAACTTTATTCGACTTCATATACATGCTAAACAATGGTGAACGTTGCCGCCAGTCCTGCTCATTGCTAAGAAAATATTTTTTTAGATCTGTTTTTAATTATCAGCCAAGGTGTAACTATTGACATTTATCTACAAAAAATAAAATGCAGAGAGACTCAACAACAGGGATTACTGCTGCCTGCAAACGTCCCTCTAACTTTCGCTCCTCTTCCACCTCTTCTCTATGTGGTACAGTTCTGTACAGAGATGAATGAAAATGGTTTGCTAGCCCTCTGCAGTTGCTGCAGATGTCTGTGCCCCAGGAAGTCACCAACAGTTTCAATTTCCTGAACGGGCTGTAGTAATGAACTGAAAAAGAGACATTTGCAGTTTCTCAAGTCTGATTAAAAGCTTGGAAAGGAGATTGTGTCCTAAGTGACAGAAATATAATGCTGTGAAAACACAGGCTTCTGGTCCTGTATTCAGCTTTGCAGAAGGATTTGCTTGGAAAACTGCAAGGTCAGCACTGTAAGTGGCAGCTACTCAGATCCTTCTGGACACTCTGAGAAGGACAGTACCTGGATCTACTCCCTTTCCATAGTCCCTTTCCAATATCTTATCCACATTGCTCCTTCTCCCATTCTTCCTTGTTAGCAGTCATTCCCTGAATTCAGTGCCTGTGGTTTGCATCTCCATGGCAATGTTATCCCTGGCACACTTTGTTCTTGTCCTGCGGCAACATAAGGGTATTGAGGTTTTAAAAGGACTTTAAGGCTGGCACTTCCAGTTAACTGTCTTAAAAAAGAAAGATCATGCACTGATTCTTTTTCCTTTCCATTTCTGAAAATAATTGAAATCCATTTCCCACATTATTTCTTTGAGACAAGGCTCTAGTTTCTGGGTTTTAGCTTTTTTGGAGTGCTGTCCTTACTAAGTTGCTACTGGAGCAGCCTAGAAGTAGCAGACAAAATTTCAGGGTGAAAATTGCTCACAATTCAGTGAATTTCAGTAACGAGCTTTCTTAAGGATAAGAAACTCATTAGTTTAAACACACTTCAGATTCCCCATTCATGGCCCAAAGCATGTATGAAAGGCTTCAAGGCTAAAAAGAGACACATTTTCTGATTTCTCTTTCTTACTTGCTCTTGGTCTTAGCAACATATCAAGCATAAGAATGTTAAGGAATATTTTTTTCCTTAAGTGTAAAATGGAGATAACTTGTACTTGGGAATTCCTTCATCCATGTGAAGAAATTTCAAGCACACTGTAGTTGTGAACACAGAAACTAAGTTTTAGAGCCAGTCATCAAAGTTCTGGCAGCAAACCCAGCTCATTAACAGGAATATCCTCTGCATGACATACGTGCTGTTAAGCCCTCCCAAGGGTTATAAATGATCTGGAAGAGCAGATAAGTGGTGCTGAAGTATGCAGTTTTGACAGAACATCACATCATCTTCCTGCCAAATTGTCCTTCTGGAACAGAAAGAGACAAGAACTTGGATGGTTTTGCCTTTGCCAGCAAGAGATGTAGTGATTAAGCTCTACAGAAAGCATGAACAACCTATAAGCTTTTGCTAAAAAAAAAAAAAAACCCAAACCATGCAAAGACATTTACAAGGTCTCTTCTAGGCACATGTATAAAAAATGGATCTTGTTAATTTAAAGTGTCTATGTAATTAGCAGGTCAAATCACAACTTTACTTATGTTAGAATATTCTTGAATGGAATCCACAAGTAATGTACATTTTATAACTTGTGACTATGTCACTATTTAAAAACACATTCACCTTCTTCTCTTAAAACTTCCTGAGAGGTAAGAGGCTAACTGAGAGAAGTTAAACTCAGGATGGCAATGCAAAAAATAAATTAATGTTTTTTATCTGGAAGACCTGAGACACTAAGAAGGAAAAAGGGACAGACAAGAAAAAGGACAAGTATTTTAATGTAGCTTCTGACCAAACCAGTCACACTCCAGATCCTAAATGTAAAGTCATTTACCTACTCTATGAAATTTTCTCCCAGATCTCTTTCCCCAAAGTATAGTTGGCCAGTATCAAGGGATTGCAAGTATTTAGCTTTCTTCACTTCTCATTTTAAGTATATCTATGGAACAGGCCATTGAAAAATGGAAAGAAGATCTTTCTTTCCTGTTTTAGCTATGCCTCGTCATAAGCCATCTGCTATCTAACCTCTACATCTTTGCAGTATTTATGTGAATTGAAAGTGTGTGCATTAGAATACACTGCCTCTGCCTCTTTCCATCTTGGAAAGCCACGATGTTAGGTGGATGACCAAGGAGTGCCTGTAAGGCCCTGGAGAGTACGTTATTCTGAAGGGTACCACAGCTGCACCAACATGAAGGGAAAATTGTTAATTGCTGGTAGTCTTTTCGTGGAGCAAAAGGAAACAGGTAAAGTGTCGCAGAAGGAGTGATGCACTTCACCCATAAGAGAGAAGCACCAATATATTTATTGATATAAAACAGCAATTTAACAAAGTTTCATAGTAAATGCGACAGTGGTTTAACAAGATTCAATGGCAAGGCATACTTGGTTATCTAAAGCTATCCTTCACGAATCCCATACCCTGGAGGCAAGGGGGAAGGTCTGGAGGGAGGAAAATTTCCCCTCAGTTGAGGAGGACCAGGTCAGAGACCACTTGGCCAGTCCTCGGGAGACCCAGACTTTGCAGGTAACCGAGAAAGTCTGGGGGAAGCAAGACTATCCCTTGGTTGATGAGGAGCACGTTAGAGATCAGTTAGATAAACTGGATATACACAAATCCATGGGGCCTGATGGGATGCACCCTCGAGTGCTGAGGGAGCTGGGGGAAGTCAGTGCTGGGCCGCTCTCCATTATCTTTGAAAGGTCCTGGAGGACAGGGGAGGTGCCTGGGGACTGGAGGATAGCCAATGTCACTCCAGTCTTCAAAAAGGGCAGGAAGGATGACCCAGGAAACTACAGGTCGGTCGGCCTCACCTCCATCCCTGGAAAGATGATGGAACAGCTTGTGCTGGGCACCATCTCAAAGCACCTGGATGAAAAGAAGATTATCAGAAGTAGTCAACATGGATTCACCAAGGGGAAGTCATGTCTGACTAATCTGATAGCCTTCTATGACAAAGTAACTAGATGGGTGGATGAGGGGAGGGCAGTGGATGTTGTCTACCTTGACTTTGGCAAGGCTTTCGACACTGTCTCCCACATCATCCTCACAGGAAAGCTTAGGAAGTGTGGCTTAGATGAATGGACAGTGAGGTGGATTGAGAACTGGCTTACAGATAGAGCTCAGAGGGTTGTGGTTAGTGGCGCAGAGTCTAGTTGGAGGTTAGTAACAAGTGGTGTCCCTCAGGGGTCAGTACTGGGCCCAGTTTTGTTCAACATATTCATCAATGATCTGGATGAAGGGATAGAGTGTACCATCAGCAAGTTTGCTGATGACACAAAACTGGGAGGAGTGGCTGACACGCCAGAAGGCTGTGCTGCCTTACAGCGTGACCTCGCCAGGCTGGAGAGTTGGGCAGAAAGAAACCTTATGAAGTTCAACAAGGGTAAGTGTAGGGTACTGCACCTGGGGAGGAATAACCCCATGCACCAGTACAGGTTGGGGGCTGACCTCCTGGAGAGCAGCTCTGTGGAGAGGGACCTGGGAGTCCTGGTGGACAACAGGATGACCATGAGCCAGCAATGTGCCCTGGCGGCCAAGAAGGCGAATGGCATCCTGGGGTGCATCAAGAAGAGTGTGGCCAGCAGGTCGAGGGAGGTCATCCTCCCCCTCTACTCTGCCCTGGTGAGACCGCATCTGGAGTACTGTGTCCAGTTCTGGGCTCCCCAGTTCAAGAAAGACAGGGAACTGCTGGAGAGGGTCCAGCAAAGGGCAACAAAGATGATTAGGGGACTGGAGCACCTTTCTTATGAGGAAAGGCTGAGGGACTTGGGTCTCTTTAGTCTAGAGAAAAGAAGATTGAGGGGGGATCTTATTAATACATACAAATACTTAATGGGAGGATGCCAGGGGGATGGGAGTAGTCTTTTTTCAGTGGCACCCAGTGATAGGACGAGGGGTAATGGGCATAAACTTGAACATAGGAAGTTCCATCTTAACATGAGAAGGAACTTCTTTACTTTGAGGGTAGTGGAGCACTGGAACAGGCTGCCCAGAGAGGTGGTGGAGTCTCCCACTCTGGAGACATTCAAAACCCGCCTGGACGCTGTCCTGTGTAACGTGCTGTAGGTGACCCTGCTCTGGCAGGAGGGTTGGACTAGATGATCTCCAGAGGTCCCTTCCAACCCTAACAATTCTGTGAATTCTGTGAATGTGTGCTCGCAGCTGAGAAGGCCAACCATATCCTTGGCTGCATCAGAGGAAGCGTGGCCAGCAGGTCAAAGGAAGCGATTCTGCCCCTCTACTCAGCTCTCGTGAGACCCCACCTGGAGTACCGTGTCCAGCTCTGGAGTCCCCAACATAAGAAGGACATGGACCTGTTGGAGCAGGTCCAGAGGAGGGCCACAAACCTGGCCTTGAACACTTCCAGGGATAGGGCATCCACAACTTCCCTGGGCAATTTGTTCCAGCGCCTCACCACCTTCATAGTGAAAAATTTCTTTCTGATAGCTAATGTAAATCTACCCTCTTCCAGTTTGATGCCATTACCCCTCGTCCTATCACTACATGCCCTTGTAAAAAGTCCCTCTCGAGCTTTTCTGTAGGCCCCTATTAGATACTGGAGAGCTGCTACAAGGTCTCCTCAGAGTCTTCTCTTCTCCAGGCTGAACAACTCCAGCTCTCTCAGCCTGTCTTCATAGCATCAGTGCTCCAGCCCTCTGATCATCGCCTTCCTCTGGACTCAATCCAACATGCCCATGTCCTTCTTATGTTGAGGACCCCAGAGTTGGATGTGGTACTCCAGGTGGGGTCTCAACAAAAGCAGGGTAGAGGGGCAGAATCAACTCACTCAACCTGCTGGCCATGCATCTTTTGATGCAGCCCAGGATGCATTTGGCCTTCTGGGCTGCAAGCACATATTGCTGGCTCATGTTGAGCTTCTCATCAACCAACACCCCCAAGTCCTTCTCCTCAGGGCTGCTCTCAACCCATTCTCCGCCCAGCTGGTATTTGTGCTTGGGATTGCCCTGACCCACATGCAGGACCTTGCACTTGGCCTTGTTGGACTTCATGAGGTTTGCACAGGCCCACCTCTCAAGCCTGTCCAGGTCCCTCTGGATGGCATCCCCTCCCTCCAGCGTGTTGGTTGCTCCACACAGCTTGGTGTCATTGGCAAACTTGCAGAGGGTGCCCTCAATCTCACTGTCCATGTGTCTGACAAAGAAGTTAAACAGCACTGGTCCCAGTACTGACCCCTGAGGAACATCACTTGTCACTGCTCGCCACTTGGACATGGAGCCATTGAATGCAACCCTTTGAGTGCGACCATCCAGCCAGTCCCTTATCCACCGAGTGGTCCATTGATCAAATCCATGTCTCTCCAATTTAGAGGTCACGATGTCATGCGGAATGGTGTCAAATGCTTTGCACAAGTCCATGTAGATGTTATCTGTTACTCTCCCCTTATCCACCATTGGTCTAACCCTGTCGTAGAAGGCCACCAAGTTTTTCAGACACCATTTGCCCTTAGTGAAGCCATACTGGCTATCACCAATCACATCCTTATTTTCCATGTGCCTTAGCAGAGTTTCCAGGAGGATCTGATCTATGATCTTGGCGGGCACAGAGGTGAGACTGACCAGCCTGTAGTTCCCTGGGTCTTCCTTTTTTCCCGTTTTAAAAATGGGGCTTATGTTTCCCCTATTCCAGTTAGTGGGAACATCACCAGACTGCCACGAACTTCTCAAATATGATGGATAGTGGCTTGGCAACTTCATCTGCCAGTTCCGTCAGGACCCACAGATGCATCTCATCAGGTCCCATGGACTTGTGCACCTCCAGGTTCCTTAGGTGGTCTTGAACCTGGTGTTCTCCTACAGTGGTCGGTACCTCATTCTTCCAGTCCCTGCCTTTGCCTTCTGCAACTTGGGCAATGTGGTTAGAGCCCTTGCCAGTGAAGACTGAGGCAAGAAAGTTGCTGAGTGTCTCAGCCTCCTCCATATCCCAGGTGACCATGTCTCCCTTTTCCTTCCTGAGTGGGCTGACATTTTCCTTAGTCTTCCTTTTGTCACTGACATACCTATAGAAGCTTTTCTTGTTGCCCTTGACTTCCCTGGCCAGATTTAACTCTACCTGGGCTTTAGCTTTCCTAACCTGATTCCTTTCTGCTTGGGCAATTTCTGTGTATTCCTCCCAGGGTACCTGTCAGTGCTTCCACCCTCTGTAGGCTTCCTTTTTCTGTATGAGATTTTTCAGGAGCCCCTTGTTCACCCATGCAGGCCTCCTGGCATTTTTGCCTGACTTCCTCTTTGTCGGGGTGCATAGCTCCTGAGCTTGGCAGAGGTGGTCCTTGAATATTTCCCATCATTCTTGGCCCCTCTTCCCTCCAGGGGTTTATCCCACGGTACTCCACCAAGCATATCCTTGAAGAGGCCAAAGCCTGCTCTCATGATGTTCAGGGTAGCAAACTTCAAGAAAGCTTACTGTGTGTCCTCCTTGCTGTGTGTCCTCCTTGCTGCCCTAAGGATCTCGAACTCCACCATCTCATGGTCACTGCAGCCAAGGCTGCCCTTACGCATGACATTCCCCACCAGCCCCTCCTTGTTTGTGTGAACAAGGTCCAGCATGTCATCTCTCCTCATTGGCTCCTCTGTCACTGAGAGGAGGAAGTTATTGTTGATGCATTCCAGGAACTTCCTGGATTGTGATAATAAGCACAATGAATCTAAGGTATAATCTTAGTGAAGCTTTAAAGTTTAGCATGCTATTAGTCACTTACCAAGGATCTGTTGTGGCAAGGAATCTCTCAGCCTCGAGGTGTAACCTTGAGAGGCATCCTTACCCAAGGGGACATCCTGGTGTGCAGCCCGATGCTGCTGCCATTCAGGAGAGTTCAAAGGGCTTGTCGTGGTTTAACTGCAGCTGGCAACAAAGAACCACATGGCCACTCGCTCACCACCCCTCCCTGCAACTGTGGGATAGGGGGGAGAGTCAGAAGAAAAAGGCAAAACTTGTGGTTTGAGTTAAAGGGAGTTTAACAGAATAGCAAAGGAAAGAGGGAAACAACAACAATAACAGTGATAGAGGAATGTACAAACACGATTACTGTACAACTGGTACCACCTGGACCCGGAAGCCCCAGCCCCCTCCCAAGCAGTGATTTCCTGCATCCTCCCCCTGGCCAGCTCCAGCTTTAGACTGGGCATGGTTCACATAGCATGGAATACCCATGTGCCAGGCCAGCTCCTTGGAAGAATTAACTCTATCCCTGACGGAACCAGGACAGGGCTCTTGGGCTGTTTTATGGGTAAGATGATTGACTTATAACCATATTTGCATACTGAAAACAAATGTTAGTTTCTTCCAGTCATATTTGCAAACCAACCACAGATGTTAGTTTCTTCCAAATCTGGCTTGAGTACCATTACTGTGATTAGGTGGATGAATTGCTCAAGTTAGCCCTTGGCTATTGTCTCCCTGGAATCCACATTGATCGGATGCAGCTATCATGACCAAACACACACATTATGACTGCTACTGGTGGTTTTGCCTTGGCCAGGGTTCAAGAGATCAAGGTCAGGTTGAAGAGGGGGGGAGCACACCGTCACAAAAACAAATGCAACTCATTAAAATTTCTGGAATGAGACACTTCCCTGAGGAGGATGAGGAGGCATGTTGTTTTGCTTCTTGTTCTTTGCTTTTAAGGAACATCCTCAATAATCTTAATGAAATACCATGTGATACTCTCTGTTCCTTTTGTGAGATGTTATGTGGAGAATATTTTCAGATTCTCTTAAAGAATTTGATTACTTGGTCATTGTTTGTTTGTCTTTAATGTAACGTGTGGTAAAGTAAATGCACGGACTTATTTATATTTTTTACAAGGTTCTAAATAGTTGTGAATCACATTCTTATGTTATTTTGTTCCCACAGAAGTCAGCTGTTCAAAGACAGAACTGTACAAAACAGCAGCAATTCTGATTTTGTATTTGGAGAAAATATGGTTGAGAGAGTTTTGGTAAGAACTGTAAATGCTGCCAGTCTTTTTATCGAGGTTAATGTACTTAGAATTTTTTTCAGAGATTGATTGTTTTTAGTTCCTCTTGTTCTTTTAAAGATGTGAGTAAATATGATTCCAACGACTGTTGAGGAGAAAATATCTAAATATTTATTGCAGGAGGGGTAGGCATTCCTATCTTCCCCATCCTAGATAAGTACCCTAATTACTAACCCATACCAGTATGCACTTCTCTTTTGCTCATTTTTTGACCTGAAGAAGGGTTTTTGTGTATTCCATGTAAAGTGGGACAGCCACAATATGAGACAAAAAAATGTGGTCCCCAGTGCTCTAAGAGTTTCTATCATAACTGTCAAAAGATGGGAGAAATTAGTATAAGGGGAAAATCAAACACCCATCCTAGATAGCGTCCACGTTAAACTATATTGAGCACGCTGTGAGACAGCTTAATGGATCAAGTCATGAAGGAAACTCAGACAAAAAGGTGGTTCCCAAGTTGAGGACTGCACCATTTAAAATGGAATGGAAATTCAATTTCTAGTAGAAGAAGAATGAGAATAGTATGCATATCTGTCAGTGAAAAAGCTTGGCAACCATAGGTCTGGGTTATGACTTCTGACCAGGATTTAGTTATATGGTAGGAGTTGAGCCACTGAGCATTGTCAGGAGCCAGAAGCATTTATTTACACATGCCAAAGAAACTTTACCAGAAAAAACTGAAGGTCATGGAAGTCTTTAATTCCTCTGAGGTTAATTTTGTGGTGTCTGGGAATTTTAAACTATTCTTCTGTGGCTTAAGTGCTTAAACTGAAAATTAGCTGGTACTTAAACATCTAAGTCTTTCAGTGGATTTAAAACCTAGTCCAGGACCATACAAAGAGGTCGTTCTTCTTGGGGGAAGAATGATGTACTGATTTTATGATAATAAAGTTACTTCCACTAGAGACTGAAATTGTATTATCTGAGTCAGTTTTTACTCTTAAAGTATTACAATTGCTAATCTTCAGCCAGGTATGCATTAAATAATTCTATGTTCTGTTTGATATGAAGTAGCATAGCCATTTTATTTAAATATGAATTCTTATTTGCCCTGTTTTTTTCTAGAGTCCAGAAAAGCATCCCAAATCGTGTGAGGAAGCTGATTCATACAAAGGAGAAATAACATCTGTGTACATAGAATCTTTTCATGTCAGCCCACAAACAAGTAAGCATACTCTGCAAACAAATACAGTTAGCTTTAGTATTATATATTTCTCTGTATCTTAGAGGATTTCAAATAAGCAGTGGTCAATAATATTCATCTATTCTCAAGTTATCCAGTCACTACTACACTTGCAGTATGTGCCAAAATCTGTGTTCAGAAAGCAGCTACAGTTTGCTTTATGACATTAGAACTGGACTAACTTCAGAATGAATGATCTAAGTTACTGAGCAAAGGATAGAGTTTTACAGATTATTGTTGTTATTATTCTTATTTATTACACATTATTATTATATATTATTTGAAAAAAATGCAATGGACTTTGTGAATGCCTTTTGGACGGCATTTGTGCACTACAATTTTAAGCTGTCGGCTGCTTGTATTTTATGACTGCTCATATAAATTACTTTGCTGTATTTGTATCCTAATTGTAGGACTGAAACTTCTCTACAGACAGATTTCAGGGGTTGTTTGTGACTCTGGTGAGGGGTCTGGAGGACAAGTCTTATGAGGAACGACTGAGGGAACTGGGGTTGTTCAGCCTGGAGAAGAGGATGCTGAGGGGAGACCTTATCACTCTACAACTGCCTGAAAGGAGGTTGTAGAGAAGAGGGGGCTGACCTCTTCTCCCTAGTTGACAAGTGATAGGATGAGAGGAAATGGGTTCAAGTTATATCAGATGAGGTTTAGATTGGATATTAGGAAACATTTTTTCACTGAAAGGGTTATCAAACATTGGAATAGGCTGCCCAGGGAGGTAGTGGATTTGCCGTCCCTGGAAGTGTTTGAAAAAAGGATAGACATGGTACTTGGGAACATGGTTTAGAAGTGGTTTAGAAGTGGTTTTGTCAGGTTAGGTTAATGGTTGGACTTGATGATCTTAAAGGTCCCTTCCAACCTCAACAATTCTATGATTCTACGATTCTGGTGTGAGCTTTTCTACTAGGCAAGCCACCTAAACTTAGACTGTGAGGAAATCCCAAGTAGGCCCCTGTCTGGAGCCCTCTTGCAAAATTTTGCACCCCTCTTTACTAATGGATGTATTGGATCCTCTTACTTTGTATGAACATTCCTACAAGTGAAAAAAAAAAAAAAATAAAATCCTAAGGAACACATCTATAGATTATGCAAATAGACAAAATTTTGTAATAATACTGTTCCTCTCAAATCTTGTCCTTTCATGCTCCTGTCAAATATTCACTGTATATGTGTTACAATTCTGAATAATGTGACACGTGTCTTTCATTATTTATTAATCTGCACAGCAATATGACAGACCAGTTTCATTTGGAAAATCAACTTCTAATTATTTAGGGCTTGTTTCTGCAAGTTGTCCCTTGGGGCAAGCCTCTGCAACTGCAGAGAACCATGTTCCATTCAAAATTAAACTAATAAGGTGAAACATTTTGCAGTATCCCAGCCTTTTTCTTTTTCTCTTCCATTTACTGCTTTTGCCAAAAACTTATTAATAACACTAAATAATACCAGACGCCACAGGGATTACTGAGGCTATCCTATGTGCTAGTTTTTTTGTCCTGAAAATATTCCCTGTACAGAAAGGATTTCCTTTTTTTTTTCCCCCTACAGGAACAGCTTTGTTGAGGAATGCAACACTAATTGAATCAGCAGCTGCTGGTATTTCCAAGCCAGTGGAGAAAATTCTGTTAGATAAAGTTGAAGTTATAACTGGAGAAGAAGCAGAACAAAATGTGTTGCAGGTGCGTATTTCATAAAGCCCTTGACGGTAAGCAGTTTTGTTGTTGAAGAGAATATCCAGATCTATTACAGATTGCAGCAATCTGAAAATGACTTCAGTTTATATTTTAAATTTTCACTTTTTTAAGATATGCCTCTGCTAACACATTTTTCTGTAGGCTGATACTTTATTTTGCATATTATATTTGTTTATTTTAGTTATTTTAGTTATTTAGTTAATTTAGTCCCTTTCAGTAGGTGACTGCTTCAGAACTTCATTCTACAGTTGTATTTTATAAGCATCTACACAGGATACCAGCAGTAACTAAAACTTCAAAGTTGGAAGTGATTTGAGTAAAGATTTTTTTATGACAAAACTTTCTGGGGAAAAAAGCAATGTGTTGTCAAAGTAGTTTTATAGTTCATATAAAATATCAATTATCTTTCTGGCCCAGCAGGACGCATCTTGCTATTCTTCATCTTCTAACTGTTATTTTCTCAGAAAATAGCAATGATGTATATGATTTTAAAAATCTTAACATTGACAGTTACATTATTTTATCATTTATTAAATCCTCTGTCTTGTCAGAACATGCAAGTTTTACTGTATTTGGAGGAGTAGTCTCTTAGTTATGGTACTGGGCTGCATAATGTTTCTAATGAGCGAGAGAATAAGATTGTAGAATACTTGTAACAAATTCATCTGTATTAGTGGATATCACAGATGAAGAATTAATGAAGATGAACTAATTGAAAAAGTAAACTGGGATTCACGCTGAAAGTTTTCCATGACTAGCAGAAAGTTTAGCACAGATCCAGGAGCCATTTCATTTTATGTAATAATGGTGATATATCTATGTATCTATCTTTGTCCACATGCATATAGATATATTAAAAGCCATATCAAAAGGTTTAAAAACATAAAGTTTTAGAACCAATAAAATGAACATTGGCTGGCATTTTCCATGGTGTATTTTTCTTTCAGATCAACTGCAAGCTGTTTTTATTTAATAAGCTTTCTTTAACCTGGATTGAAAGAGGCAGAGGATCACTGAGGCTTAATGACACTTCTAGAAATAAGCGTGGAATGTTGCAGTCAAGGCTGAGTAAGAATTAAATAACCAAATAACATATACACAAAACACTAAATAACTTGTACTGTTGCTGGGCAGAATAAGTTTATTTCAGAACGTTTAAAACTGAGTAGCTAGTTTCATTTAAGTCAAGTCGATGAGAATCTTTTTAACATTGCCTGATAAAGTTGTGTTACGGACTGAGGCACTGGGCATTTTTCACTTGTACATTCACGCTTGCATATGTTGTTAGGTTCTGTTTATTTCTACTGCAGCATATCTTTAGCGCAGTCACTAGCCTGACAGTTTGCTCTTTGTTGATTCTGCTTTTTCAGGGGCACCGTTTCAAGTCACTTCAGGAATGTGTTTTTTACTCTGTTGTCATTTTTTGTACTGTATTGCACAGTTTCAGCACATTATTTGCTTTGTATGCCAGATGTATTGAAAGAAACAAATATAGTTTTGTATTTAAAAAAATAATAAAAATAAGAAATCTCACCATGTCAGGTTTAGACCAAATTAAAAAGAGTAATTCATAAAAATATTAGTTGTGTATACAAGTGGTAGAGAAAAATGTTGCAGTAAAAATCAAGATGGTTCCAATGACTTGACTTACCATATAAACCTTCTTATTTTAGTTATGCGAAATCAAGGCAGCTTGAGACTGATTCTCAACACCCGACTCTGGGATCAAATGGTTATACAAAGAGCAAACAGAACAAGCCTGTGCTTCACTGCAACAGACCAAGAGAACCATTCTGTTCAAGTATTTCTAATTCAGGTAAGCAAGAGAAAAAATCCACCCAAATTCCCATTTCATGTAGGATTCTGAAGACTTGCTGAGGCTTTGGTTTTAGCAAATGGCCTTTTATGCTCTGTCAGACTGTGCTTAGCTTAGCTGTTACATGTCTTTTATTATGAAATTAGTTAGAAGTGTTATCCCTTGGTATTTAAAAAAAAAGGTGTGAAGATAGAATATGGCCTTACAACAGACATTTCCAGGTTGTTTCTTATTCCACTGATAGATTGGATATCATTCCAGGGTCATATGCAGCAATTACTCTTTCATACGGTAGGTAGCAACGTTTTAAGAATTTCTACACAGGTGGTTGCATATTCATAAGTTACGTTGGTACAAAGCAGCAGCTTTCTGCCATGGTTCTTGACACAGTGCTTGCAATAATCCATCCAGTGTAGGACCTCCATTTCTCAGTTGAGGAGAACACAGATTTTGTGATGTCACCTCAGGTAAGACAATAGTCTTGGGAATCCTGGTTTTCTTTAGCAAGGGCTGAGAAGTTGCGGATGGAAATGCGGTGGACTTATTTGCAAATAAATAGCACGTATGTCCTAGGTTGGCAAGGGAGAGCATCAACGTGAGTTTAAGGATGCCTCTGTTTTCCCCAGTAGACCTTTCTGGGAAGGGTTCAGCCTCCTGGGCAAAAAAAATAAATCACCACTTTCAGGAAGTGTCACGTATCATCCACAAGCAAAGCACCATGCACTATATATGCAAGCATTGTAAGTCTGTCACTTTCAAACAGTGATTTACTTAACTATGGCTGTACTGCACAGCTGGTCTGCATCTGAGAATTAGAAATGTCCTAGATTTCTAGATGTGCTGTAGTTTTTCTAGCATGTATAGATGTAAAGATTCCTGAAATTCTGTCGTCGCACTTGTGGAGAGTAAAAAAGACATGGATAAGGAAACTGAGATAGCTGTATGCATGTGGCAAGGGTTGCTATAGGGATGGTATCCATCCCTATAGCTGGTATCCATCCAAAATAACATGGGGACTCCTGAGTGTGGAAGGCAGATTGGTCAATGCATGAGACACCCAGCAGGCATCAACAAAGCCTTGGCACGTAAATCAGGCTGGTCTAGTAGCCAGTGTAGCCCACTCCTCCAAGGCACCAGCAGATATTTTTATCTGACATTTAAAATTGTTTTTCCTATGTCACATGAATGATTGATACATTTGGTTCACTGATATTATCCGAAGGGCTTCTCATGAGTGAGGGAGAAGAGTCATATGATGGTGAGTACAAAGGAGGCAGTCCACAAGACTCCATTAGGTTGGTCCTGTAGTACTCACCCAGGTTTGCACAAAGGGCTGACCCTGCCCTCTACCCTCATGCTTGTTTCTCCCTCCTTGCTTTTGGTGGCATTGGAATTAGCTATGAGTGAGGCAGATCAGAGAACTAATCCGCGTGGTTTTGTTCCTTTTTGCCAAACTAGTTTTTTAGTTTGATTCTGTTCACCTGTGACTGCCCTAATGGTGGTACTGGAACAACGGAGAGGTAGGAATGAAGAGTCAGAGGATGCATGGAGGTGAGTCCACCCCTCTTGGCAGAAGCTGAAGTTCACATTAGATTAAAGTGACAGAGGAACTCGGGCTTTTGAATGAATAAGTAGAAAACTACAGACAGAAATGATAGGACTGAATAGCTGCCTTTTTCATATTTATGACCCTATATTTTGTGAAGAGCTGCGTTATCTTGAGAGCTCAGATTTGTCCACTGAGAATTCCATTTGTAGTTGAGGCATCTGAACAACTCTGAATTGCTTTCTTCTTTGCCTGGCTGTAGGGAGAGAATTGTTTGCTGCTGCAAGTCTGGGTAGCACAGAAGGCAATCCTGATCTGCTGCTGTTCCCCCATTCATGTAGCTTTTCCACCTATACACACTGAAATGTGTCATTCCAATCCAAATAAGAAATATTTCTTCTGTTGCCAAGCGATACAGATAGAAATTACTCCACATGATGCACAGAAGTGATGAATTGGGCTACAGAAGACCATACACATTCAGTTACCCTCTGGTGGATGATTTGCTTCATAAGAACAAAATAAGGACCCTACTGGCACTTCTGGCAGCGCCTAAATGCAGTGCTTTTAGGAAGCACAAGCAAGTACGGCCACGTTGTATGGTCTGTTGACCTCACTGACCTCCATCGTCCTTAAGTGCTGTATTAGGCATGTGAGGGCATGGATCCCTACTGTTTCCTTTGCTATCTATTTTATATGGTGATCAGAACAGAACACAGTACTCAGGACATGGCCGCATGAAGGTTTTATGTACTGGCAAAATGCTGCCGCATCTAGTTCTCAATACCCTTCTCGATGATGCTCATCTTCTGTTCTACAGTAACAGCAGAATTCATAGTATCTTTACATTTTATAATAACAATTAATTTTTCTAGTTCGGTTTTAAAATTCTTATTTATTCTGTAAACCAAAATGCAATACATATATTAACAATTCAGTGCTTTATTACTTCTAGAATCATATTCAGGAATTGTCTGGAATATCAAGTACTTAGTACAAACTGAGCCATTCTTCAGAAGAAATAATTTTTTAGCTTGTATTTCTTGTAACTACAGAGAAAATAATCAACAGCTACATATTATAAAATTCAAATCATTTCAAAAAACTTGACAGTATTTGTATTTAAATTTATTTTCTGAAATGAATTATTAAGTGTGAATCTTAAATGGATTTTTTTTTTATTAAGAAGGACAAAATACAGCTTTTCCATTACATTTGAACATTTCTCAGTCAGATTCTCTGTGAAAAATAGAGATTTTTCTCAGTTTGGTCTGTATGCACTTTATGTTCTGCAGGCAAGCTCAAAAGACACTGGATACCTGTATGCAGCAATACATCACCGCCTCGTGGCATTGCGAAGCTTTGCTGAGCAAGAGCCAGATGCTAATCAAGTTGACACAGAGTCAGAAATAACTTTTCAGCCATTAAACTGTGATAGCGATGATGAAGATGATGGAAAAACAACTCAAGTGAGCAGCAGTGGATCTGGTAAGCAGAAATTTTCCTGGGAATGCTGTAATCCTTTCAGGGTATTTTCTTGTAAACACTGAATATTGTACTTTTTTGTTCTTTTCATGCTAACTATAAGTTCCATCTGCTATAGATAGCCCTTTTCAGGTAGAAAAAGGTAATTTCTTTTAGTATTTTGACTTACTACTCTTAAAATACAAAGTTTTGCCAGATGTAGTATCTACATGTCTTTGTAGCAGTGGAACACTCTTTTGACAAAAGGCTGAGGGTAAAGAAATTTCAATATTGCCAGGCTTTACCTAAAGCTTTCTTCAGTATATTTAAGTAGAAATGACTAGAGGTATTGAGATACTAGTTGTTACTTGAGTAAGTGAAAGTTGAGTCCATTCACATCAGTGATTTTGTAGTTACTAATGTCTTCAAGTATAATGTGTTTACTAAGACATTTATTATGCAGTGGGTAACTTCATTAAAAATACCAATTCTTAATCAGGTGTAACAACTACTTCACTAGGAAATTTGCAGGTCAAGATTAACACACCAGTTTTCCAGCTTTCTTCAACATAACAAAAATGCAGGCTCCTGAAAGTGAAGCATGCAACTAAAACAAGATATAAGGGGCAAGCTGCTGACTTAATTCTACTGAGAAAGCAAGGCAGAAACAGCTGTCGGCCTTCAAAGCTCTTCTGTCTTAGCAAAACACAAGTCACATTTCTGGGGCGAATTCACTTGCTTGTAGCAAACCGCTACAGTGGATACAGAAGCTGCCAATTATGTTCAATTTTCTAATAGGACTGCAGCAGACATGTTTGAGTTGATGCTCATAGCATTAGTTTCCCTCTTCAACTGAGTAACGTACTGTCCTTATGTTGTAAAATCTTCCTTTTAACAACTATTCAACAAAAATCAAGTCATGTAGGAGTAACAGCTGTGAGTGACTGTTTGCTTAAGGGAACAAGTCTTTTTTCCCCTTTGGGCAAATAGATTGCAGTTTACAGTGCTTGTTCCCATTACTAATTGTTGTTTAACTACATTTCAGTAGCATTCAGTGCTCTAAACAAAGCATGATGCTCTTATCCAACATTTTCTCACAAATACCTTTTTTCTGTTTAGGAAATGGGAAAACTGTTAGCTCTGAGAATTCCCTGGATTGCTCCCAGATAATCAAACATTCCCTCTGTAATTTCTAAATAGTCTCTGTTGACTTCACAGAGAGTTTCTGGTAACTTGAAAACTCTGGATGGAGCTTGATTCCTTTCCAGAACTACTGCTGATAAGAACTCTTTGTTCTTTTTTTTTTTTTTTTTTTTTTTTTTTTTGGGGGGGGGCTGGGGAAGGGAAGGGAATGTCAAAGCTGTGTAGGAGCACGGATTTACAAATTAAATATTTATTTCGATTTGCAGAGACTTGTGATACAAATATTCAGATGGCAGCCAGCAAACAGATTCTGAGATATGAGTGTAAGGTGCTGTTTTTTTCTTGACCTTTTGGTTTAAGCATCTTTCTTTTATGTCCAGTTACAGCAGTTCTAACAATCCCTTTCAAGTGCTTTTCCGATGACTTCTAGCATCTCCTGCTTATCTTAATCTCTTCTATTATTCTGAGAGCCCTGGGCGTTTAATTTTACTTAGACTTCAGTTACTGGTATCCAAGTCCCACTTCACATGCAGACATTCACATCTTACACATGCTTGTCCCTGGAACTCCCATTTCCAAAACAAGAAGAAAAATATGCCTCATGGGTTTTGAATGGGGCGAGGTCAGTTTTAAACATCAGCATAGAAATGTCCATTTGGATGCAAGAGATCAGATCCTGCATATTTAAAGAGCATTTGTGTAAAGCTTTCATTTTCATGCTTTCATTTTCATTGAAGGATGTGCATGAATAAGTTGTGTTATTTTTATTGTTGTAACTGTTTCAGAGATTACCTCTCCTTAACACTACTATAAAAGTTAAGTTCTCAGTGACTGTTTCATTACAAGAAATATAATTAGAAAGTATGTCTGCATTTTATTTCCATTCTACCTGCTTTGTCTCAAACAAAATGATAGTTCGTTCTTTTCTTCATATAGACAATTTCCTTCTTGTTAGACTGAACTAACACAGTTCCCTAGATTATGCTATATATTTCATGATATTGTTAAAGACATGAAAAAATAGATGAGAATTATCTTTAGCGCTAGAGACTGAAGAAGAAAGCAAATATGATATACGTAATAAGTGAAGTGTTATGAACATTAAAGTGATTCTGTATGTTTGCAACACATTTTTGTAATAATTTTTTACACAGAATCCTTCACTATAACATCCACAGGACGTTCATGCTGTATAAGGACAGTGTGTAAGGTAGTAGAAATATTTCTACCATTTTAAAAATTGAGTATAGACATTTATTCCAATTTTTAAAAAACTTTTAATTGAATTGCTTTACTTGCAAGTAGAGATACTGATTTCATAAAGTCCATACAGAATAAGTTGCTGTACCTGGTATTTTTATTAGATCATATTTCACCAGTTACAGCTTGGATATTTTTACCAACAAATTGCTTTGTAAGGTAAGTGGAGAGAAAGAGAACAATTCATCTTTCAACAGATTTTGAGAGTGGATGAGATCAATAACTCTCTGGGAAGTATTGACCTTCTTCCACTGACTACAAAGTGATCTGAGGAGATGAGGTTAGACTAGACAGCAAACTTCTAGGCTGACCAAACTCAAGCAAATCTCTTCTTCCATTTCTTTCATTGCTAATCCATTTCTCTGCCAAGTGTCGTAACTACATTTGCCTCCAGTTGTCTTTGCAGTATCTAGCTGGGGAAAGATCAGCAGCATTCTTTATTATGCATATGAAAAATTTTCTCACTAAATAATTTAACAAAACAATGAAAAAAGCTGATACAGCAATGTGTGAATGATCGGAACGCTCTCTTCTGAGGGAAATGCCACTGGCCTCAGACAGTTGCATGACTCTCCCCTTTTATTTTTCCTCTCCTTGGACTTGTAAACCTTAGATTCCTTGCTGTGTGGTAGACCTGCTTCACCAAAGAGAAGAGTGAATTCCCCTTAGCCAGGCATATAGGATAGCCTAGTAAGGGAGCATGGTCTACTGGTAGGCAACAAGTTGTACCTGACCCCTGTAGATAAAGAGGACCCAGCACCCTATAGGTCTGTCTGGGCGTGTTCTGCAGCGAGTAGCATCATGACAAGCTGTTGCCACTACCTCCTCCTGCTTTGCTAATTGATCTCAACCATCAATTTGGGACTTTGCTATATGTTGACACACCTGTGTCAGGTATCTGTGCAGACAAAGTCTTCTGACTCCTGTTTTTTAAGCACTTTGACTACAGGCAGTTACAAATTCAGAACATGGGAGTACTGAGTTGCGCTGCTAATACGCATAAATTGCATGTGTAGTTATTGGATAGACAGTTCTCTAATGTAGACACTGTGCAGCTCTTGCAGGGTGCCCCTCTCCTTCCACTGGTGGCACAATCAAACAAGGTACCTATTTCAGACTCAAAAAATCATCCTGCCAGAACATGTATCTGTAGACCCCCAACACTGAAGCTTGCCATTGGTAGCAGGTGATCTGAAGTTACTACTTAGACCCATAGGTGACTAAGATGTCTCTGAAAATGTTCCTCCTTGCTTCTGACACTTCTAAGAGATTTTTCTATGTGTGCTTCATAGCCATAAGGAGATTCTGTCCTTGCTGCAAAAGAATGCATTTTGTTTACATTTAGAAACAGGTGCTGTTTCCATCGTGGTCATCAGAAATAGCAGGTCTTTAAAGTGTTGCAACCCCATTAGTATTTAGACAGAACTGTTATTCCTTAGAGGCATAAGGCATTTCTTTCACAGGGGAGCATGAAATGTCAAGTCACAGTAGTAAAATAGTATGGGGGCTATAGGTAAGATGGTTCCTCTAATTTCCATCCATTTCCCTTTTCTGATTTTGCAGGATTTTTTATTTTTGTCCCTGAGGGGGAACAGAGAAGCTGGAAAAGTACATGTGAGGGACAAGGATAACAGTATCTCTAGGCAAGAAATGTTTTATGCATTAACTTAGACTGCACCTCACCAGTAACTCTTAAATCCCCTAACTTAATCCTGATAGAGAGAGCTTCTCTTTTGATTGAGGTGTTCTCTCTTTCCTGGTATGGAATTTTCTTTTAGAAACTATTAGGGTGAATTCAAAGATGCTGCAGTCTAGGACTAGGTAAGTCCCAAGAAGTCTCTCCATACATAGCTATAGGCCTCAAGAGAGAACCATAGCGTGTGAAGACATAGTGTGTCCCATATGGGTCCACCAAGGATTGCATGGATTTTGGAGACTACTGGTGTTGAGAGCTGTACAGTATCATATCACAGAATTGCAAACTTTGTTTTATTTTAGACACTTTTTCTAGTCCACTATACATGTACTTCCGATATGGGCCTCATTAGGAATCTGTCATCTGCTGGTGTTTATCAAGATTTAGAACGTTACAAGAGCTTTTTTTTATTTTTAAGTTCTTAACGGAACTACTGTTCAGCAACACCATGGAACTCCTGAAAAAATGCTATCTTTGTTTGATGTTTATTGTCAATTTAATGTAAATTCTTGCCAGTTGTTAAGGATTCCAAATCATAAATATAACATGCTCACCTACACGATAGTGATTAAAACTGAGGAAAAGTTAATTCTTAACTTCTTTGTTGGACTCCAAGTTTCCATATTCTTTGCAGCAGATACCAATAACGTCTAAAGCAGAGAATAAAAGACAAGTCTCTGATTGGCTTTAAATGCTGACATGTCAGGAAAGAGAGGGGGAGAAATCAGATCTAATATTCTGACAAACTCAAGGCCTTTCATTTCACCTGCAAGAAGTTTAAAACTTTTTTTAAGTATTTAATGATTGCCAGATGGTAGCGGCAATTTTAAAGCAGATACTGAGATAGCGATACTGTGTCTGGCGTTAGTCAGCTATATCTACGTTCTGCAGATTAATCATAGTCATAGAGATTACACACCAAAAC